GGGGGGGGGGGGGGGGGGGGATCATTGAACACCAGGAACCCAGAAAATATACAAGAAAAATGTGACATTAATTTGGAAACACAGATCGCCCTGCCACCAATATACCGTGCTGCGTCCGACTACTGCAAGCCAACGAACTGTACCTCGGATGCATGCTTCATGCAGCCTAATGCCAATCCAATCTGTACCCCTGATCCCAACAATATTCATTCGTCCCTTGCACGGGAACAGATTACTTTCATTTTGTGAAACACATGATCAGGACTCTTCAAATATTGAATATATCAATGACAGGGCACAAACGTTATGCTAGTACAAGCAATACAAGATCAGGAGCCCTCTAATTTAGACAGCAACTGATTGACCGGTGAGCGCATCGTGGAGATGCAACGAGCCATCTTTCATCAGGTTAAGGCTCAAACTCTTGAACCTCTCCCTTGAATACTGTCGAGATGCCTTTCTCCAATCAGTTCCAGCTTTCATCATTGCAACAAACTCCTCATAACTAATACAACCATCCTGAAAATACATATGCAAATTACTATGAGACACGTGGAGAAAGATAACCTCCTGTACCATTTCAAGCTTCTCTGATTTGCATTAGCATTATTTGGATGGCTCAAAATTGCATAATTCGAAGCTGACGATTCTGAAAAATTGAATTATTAGAAAGGACAGGGAGACTAAGTCATACCTTGTCAGTGTCGACTTCACGCATGATGTCATTCAGCACATCATCATCAGTTTCCCCATATTCATCTGCTAATGCCTCTCGTAACTCATCTAATTCAATATATCCATTACCATCCTTGTCAAAAAACATGAATGCCCTGCGGAAATGCTCATCATTTTCCATCTTCTGCAAGTGAATGGTGACTGCCACAAACTCTCCATAGTCCAGTACTCCGTTCCCATCAACATCTGCCTGAAGAAAAAAAGAAAAATGTTACAGTCTACAAAAAAGGCTTAAGATTAAAACTGAAAATTATCAAGACAAACCTGAAAATCAATTAGCCATTTCTTTGAGTGAGAGGATGTTGCCAGTAAGATACATATATGAGAGGATGTTGCAAGTAAAACACATATATGAAAATCAAACAGTGAAGGGTAGTGAGAAAACCGTGATATCCAGTTCATCAGAAGGTGGTAAACTCCAGACAACCAAGCCAAACTACAGATACAAATACTTGTAAGTGGGTGTTCGGTATATTGGTGGCATAACCTCGATACCATGCCACCAAAATACCAAACTCACCCTAAGTAGCATGTAGCATACCAACCATCCATCATTTCAATTCCAGAAGAGAAAACAAGAATTAACAATCTCACAGTAAATTTCCAACAAATATATACAGTGTCATGAAGGATTGAAGCAAACAGTGCTAACAAGCATTGTTATGTTGATGCCAGCTATTGTACACAATGACAAAGCAATAAGAGAAGGATAATTTTGAAGATTTCATATAAAAATATTTTCCATAACAATTCAGCATAGCATGAAAAGATATCAAATATTTAGCTATCCAGATTTACAGAGTGCAGTGAGCTCCATACGAAGCATGTGCTATTCAATCCAAAAGCAGCAAAAGTGTTATCAGGACATGATATTCATACATAACGCCAAATCAAAAGGTAAGCATAAATAGATTTGAACACAGAGAATGACTGACACAAGGATTTACCACTTCCATCAGCATCTTTATCTCAGGTTCAGCCAACTGTGAACCAACCTTCCGAAGACCAGTTCTCAGTTCCTCATATGTTACTTTACCATCATTGTCAGTATCCATCAATGCAAACATATCTCTGATTACTTCAACCTCTTCAACAGATAAGTGTTCCGCAATTACCTACAGCATTTAATTGGAAAAGGCATGTTCTCAACGGATTAATTTTGTTTCAAACTATGACAACGATCAGAATTTGAATGATAATTACACATAGAGATGCTTACCCGCAATGCTCTCTTCTTAAATCTATTCATCATAGAGAACTGCTTGAGCCTTGTCCTCACAATGTCTCCTAATGGGACATTTGGAGCTTTCTTCGCATTTTGTAACCAGGGATGTTCTGTCACCAAATGAAAAGAAACGTAATAGTTAGTGCAATTCTTTCACAAACACAAGCCAAAGAGCAGGATAGATTGATACACAGTTTTATTGCTAAGAATAATGTACACATCTAACAGCTTATGAAAATATAAGATTTTAAAGTTATCACCCAGTAACAAATAATTTATCACAAGTGAATATGAGAAACCTATATCATTTCTCAGTCACAGTTAATCCTACAATGCCCCCAAACAATTTCCAATGTTTAGGGCTCAAGGCACCATCACTTCCCAAACATAATGCTACCAAGAGAAAAAAATTCAGTTCAACAAGCTGTAAAGGACTTACCAAGAACCTGTTGAGCATTCAAGCGCTTACTGGGATCTGGCTCCAACATCTGTCGAACAAGACTTTTAGCATTCTCTGAAATCTGAGGCCATGGTTCCCTCTTAAAATCAATCACCCCTCTCAAAATGGCAAGAGCAACACCCTGCTCAGTCTCTGCCACAAGAAATAAAAAAGAAAAATAAATAAAAATCCGATGCCATCAAATCCCATAATATTCTAATCACCATGCTCCTCAACAATAACAAGGTCAACTGACAGACATGCCTGCCCAAAATGGAGGAACCCCACATAACAAAATATAAAGAATAACTCCGGCACTCCACACGTCAACCTCCGGTCCATAATTCCTTCTCAACACCTCTGGCGCCATATAATATGGACTGCCCACTATCTCTGAAAACCTCTCCCCTGTCAACACACAAAATTACCCACAAAGACAAATTTTTCCAGTTAATGAAACCCACCCAGACTCCAAATCTCAAAATCAAAAAGAGAAAAAACAACCCAGAAACAGGAACAGAAACAGAAACAGAAACGTACCTGGCTTAAAAAGCACAGACAAGCCGAAATCAATAGCCTTAAGAACAGAATTCTCCTTCTTATTAGCAAATAAAAAATTCTCAGGCTTCAAATCTCTATGCATTACCCCATTAGCATGACACATCCTAACAACTTCAGCAATCGTTCTGGCGGCATGGGCCGCAGCTCTCTCACTAAAATGCCCTTTAGCCACTATCCTATCGAAAAGCTCACCTCCTTCACACAATTCCATAACTAAATGCACATTTTCGTAATCCTCATAAGTAGCTCTCAATTTCACAATATTTGGATGCTCAGGCAAAGTAGACATGTTTGCCACTTCTCTCCAACCATCCTCTATGTCCACAGCAGTCCTCAATTTCCTCTTCGAAATTGACTTGCACGCTAATGATTCTTTAGTCTCTTTGTCCGTACACAGGAACGTGATGCCGAATTCTCCACGACCCAGTTCACGGCCGAGTATGTACTTGTCAGAGATACGAGGGCGGTGGCTAAGTGAGACTGATGAGTCCTTTAGGACCCGGATCGGAGCCGGTGATGATCGCTTGTTGGTGGTGGTTTGGTGGTGGGGGTAGTCTTCTGAGTAAGGATTTGACTTTTTGTGGTTTTTTGATTTTTTGTTTCTGGTTTGGTGTTCGTTGGTGTCTTCTGTTGTGGTGTCTGGTCTTACACAAGTATTACAGTTTCCCATCCTACTCTACTTTTTTTTTTGTTGCTCGAAAGAAGGAGATAGAGAGAAACGGAGTTGTTGTTGTGGTGGCGGTGGTGGGATGGTGGTCCGGTGGAAGAAGGGAAGGAGAAAACGCGGGGTTCAGTTGAGGAAAAGAGGTCTTTTTGAAAAATGCAAAGTAAACATGCTTTATGGTTAATCACATGATAATGTATTTATATTTTATTATTACCAAGTAAATGATGTCCAAATACAAGTTTGGGATAATTCTTATTATATATATATATTTTTTATTTTTTGCATAAGCTGACCTTATTTTTTAAAGGGAAAGTGTACTGGTAGGATTGTCGAGGCATTTTAAATTGGAGTTTTCAACAATTTTAAATTTTTATTTTATTTTAAATTTTTATTTTATTTTTTAAATAATTTTAATGTGTTAATATTAAAAATATTCTTCTAAAATAATTTATTTATATATTTTTAAATAAAAAATATTTTAAAAAATAATTATTACCATCATCTCAAACACTATTGAATATTTATAATTGAATTTATATATAAATTTAGTTTTATTTTTAATTTTTAAAGTATGTTTTTTATAAAAAAAATTAACACCCTAATATTATAATTTGAATAAGAAAAAAACTTTATTGAAGTTAGTATTAATGAATTAATGAATGAATTTTGATTTAAAATTTCAACGTTTTCTTTATTATTTTTATGTTATTATTATTACTGGATTATTATTAAATACTATGTTACAAGTCAAAAAATTTTTAAAAAAAATCTTTTAAAAAATATAAATATTAACATATTTCTTAAAATAAAATAATCAACAATAAATTAAAAATTCAATGTATATTGGATGATATTCTTTTTGAATACTATGGTGATGACATAAGATAATTTTTTTAAAAAAATATTGAAATGATAATATATTATATTAATTAAAATAAACATATGCTAACCTGTAAAATACGTGACCCGGACAATAATAACATGATAATCCTATTGAAAGTACAGTAAAATAAATTAAAAAGCTCAATTTTTTTAAAATAAAAACATTAAAAGATAATTTTTTTTAAAAAAATTAATAGTTTAAGTTCATCCTAATAAACTAATTAAATCTATGAATTGTAAATTGTGAACTGAGTCATTATAATTGGGTTATTCAATATAAAGTAATTTAAAAATATTTACAAAGTCTAACTTTAAATGTACTAGCTGCTGGAGGAAAAAAATCAGAAAAATAATATTTTTTTTAAAAAATATAAGTCAATTTAGATTGACTCAAAAAATCTATAATTGAGATAATAACATCAAAATAACTTTATATAAAATCAAATAAAAAAATTGTGTAGTTAAATGATGAAATTTATAAAATAAAAAAATAAAATAAAACACCCTTACAGTAAAAAATATTTACAATTGTGGCTATAATAATTAACCACATCTTTTAGTATTTTGTTAATCCTAGTCAATAAATTTTTTTCAATAGCCAAGAATACAATACAGAAAAGATTAAATTATCGTTATATATATATATATATTATAATGTTTTGTCTTGTAATCAAAGTAGATTTTGATAGTACAGATGTATGCTTGGAAAAGAAATTGTGATCCTCTCATAAGGGTCCAGTCACCAAATCCACAAGCTACTGGAGAAAACTTGTAACCAACGAATCAAACAGAGCAGACAACAAAGCTTTGAAGTTGAGTGATAGGCTGACAAAGGGATAAAGGGATGTTTGAGATTATAATATTAGTTTATTTTTTACAGTGGGTATTTTAGAAATATGTTAAATCAATATTTTTTATTTTTTTAAAATTTATTTTTGATATTATTATAGATCTGAAGATAAAAAATAATTAAAAATAAAATAATATATATTTTTTTAATTTTATTTAAAATACAAAAATAAACTAGCTTAAAAGAGACTAACTCAAGGGAGCAATTGGGATTAGGGACTGATTTTTTTTATTAATATTGTTTTTTTAAGTACTGTGCCATCTACCAAACACTCTTGTCGATGTGAATTCTTCCATTGCAAAGAATGGACATGCCTGAGCCGCTGATGTTACTTACTCTGTGTTTAATAGTATTCAATGTAGGGTTGAGATGTTCCTGGCCCAGAGTTGTTGAAGTAGGTCAACAATTGAGAACGAAAGGTGGATACCGTTGACCAACGGCCACCAAATTTTTATCAATATAGATATTAAATTTTTGTCAATATAACACGCTACGCCCTCCAAGCAAAAGGGTGTTCTTTCCCCTGCAGTGAGTTGGTGTAATCAAATATTATTTTAATATATTTATAAATAAAAAATACTTTATAAAACAAGTACAATTATATTCTTAAAGATACACTTAAATTTTAACTTAATTATATATAATTTTTTTTTTAATTTTTTTAAAATTACATAACAGTTTAATTTTTTTATATTTTTAAATTATTTTAATGTATTGGTATTATTTTTTAAAATAAAAATATTATTATAATATATTTTTAAATAAAAAAATACTACAGAAAGTAAATATTACCACACTTCTATACGCTACCTAATTCTAGTGGAATAGCAGGGTTTTGCCGTATTGGGAGGGAGACCCAGTCACATCCAATGTCAGCCAGAGGTGCTTAGTACTATTGCCTGTTGACCTGGAGAATAGTAAGATTCTCTTTTCAAAGGATTTTTCTTTGGATTCCAAGTAGTAAAAAAACTTATCCAGAGAAATAACATGGATTAGAAAATTATAGATAGTATTTATAATTAGAGAGCTACAGGTGTTATCATGACTCATAAATAGATAGTGTAGTTAAATTTATCAAGATATTTTAAAAAATAACAATAATATCTTCATTGAAACTTTTATGTATATCTAGTATCATTTTATTTTATTTTATTTTTTCTTTCTTATTTTTCTTTACAAATTATAAGAAAAAAAAACAAAGAAATAAAATGATAGGAAACTTATCTCAAAGCCTGACATTAGTGATATATTTAAAAAGATTTCAACAAAATAATTCTAATAATACTAAAAAAATTTATAAATAGCAAATAAAATTGATCACATAAGTAATTTAAAAATGTTAAAATTCACTTGTTTTTACGTTGTTTATATGGTCTACTTTGATCACTATTAATAATTTTTTTTGCATTTTTAAATTTATTTTATTGATATTTTTTTAATATTATTGATTATATCATTATTGTAGTTTTGATACATCTCTAAATTTTTTATATTTTTTTATTAAATATTGCATTTAATAAAAAAATTTAAAAAATTGTGGATGAAACTTGTGACTCATGAATTATCATTGACTTTCTAAATTATACTATTTCTCTTCATTTGTTTTTTACTGTGTTAATTTATCAATTTTTTCTTTACTAGAATCATTAAAAAAACTCACCATCAAAGTCAACAAAAATGATTGGACTTCTTTTGCTCAAAAGCCAATTAAAGCCATGATTACACGAGCCGGGTCTTCTTTTCCCCCCAAACCCCACCTCTCCATCTTTAAACCAATCAATGCATTGTGCTTCTTGTTTAAATTTCATTAAAGAAATGTTTTCTTGCCGCAGTTGAATTAAATTCTATAGTGATTTTTAATGGTTTGCTCATTTCAAATGGCTTTCAAGTGAAGATTACTTGAGGAACGTTCACAAAGAGGGACAACAATAACACTATGAGCATCATCATACTAATTAAATGATATTTATTATTTTAACAACCAAAGCAGCTACCCCAGATGTCTCTTAATGCCCTCAAGCATTTTTATTTGTGATAAATGTTTAGAGTTTCCTAGATTCTGCAATTACGTGTATTTTCCCCTCCATTTTAAAGAAAAATACGTAAAGTATAATTTTCAGTCCATTTATTACTTATTAAACTTTATTTTTTTAGGTTGATGGTTGTTAGTCTTTGTGGTCGCGTTGGAGAACATCTCTTAATGTATTATTATTATTTAATTAACCCGATAAGCATAGAATCTAAAATCTAATAGAGTTTATGCATGTGAGGGTTATTAAGACTATGTCAAGTTATCAAGAGCTAATGTTGTGACTTGTAATAAAAATAACGGTCATCTTATAATAAAAAATAAATACAAATATAAAAAAATATGAGATGAGAATTACTAGCAAGATGTGGAAAGTTGGATGAGTGATAAAAATAGTTGTTTCGGTAGTTGTTGTTTTTTAAAATATTTGTTTTTTAAAAATATATTAAAATAATATTTTTATTTTTCTTGATATTAGCACAATAAAACAATATAAAAAAAATTAATTTGAAGTAAGGAAATAAAAAAATTTAATTTTTTAAAATATTTTTAAAATATAAAAATAAACTATACCTAATTCCAAATAGATAAGGTTTTACGAGTGGTGTGATGCAAGAGAAAAAAAAGCTTTAAAAAAGAGTTATGATCAGTAAATGATCAAAAGATTAGCAAAAAATCGTAAATCGGCTTATAATGTTGTGAGGTGGGTATTTATTGCGAGAGAGGGTGACCTTGATTGCTAGAATTACACCATATTATCTATACTTTGATTATTGAATTTGAGTTAGGCATAAAAAAAACTAGGCTATTTAAGGTTAAACTGCTTTGAATTTCTTGCTAAAGATAAAGAACGTAAAAATTTGATCCTCCTTTACCAGACCTTGTTCTAAGCTCATCAAGCCAATCGCCTTAATGCATCCTATGATTAGATAACATGATTCTTGGCCCTCTCAAATATCAATCAAATAAAAATTGAAAGAAAAAAAAGGAAGAAAAAAATAATTAGGGATGGAATTAAGAAGAAATATTGAGAAAAAAGAAGTTAGAATTGGCTAAATAATTACAAATTTGAAAGCCATGTACTAAATTGAAAAAGTAAAGACATGCAAGGACCATTCTAATATAATCATGGATGAAATTAAAAAGAAATGTTAATAAAAAAGGTTGAAATTACCTGTAAATAAAAAAAAAACTAAAGATCCAAGGACCAAATTAAAAAAAAAAGAGCAATTAAGGGTTTTATTAAAGACATAAAAATTCATTTTAAGTCAAAACAATATCGTATTATTTAAGTGAAACAAATTTATTCTTTTACCCATTTCTCATACGAACTCTGAACAATACATCACTTATTTTACTTGCTGCGAGCATGCTAAAAAAAAAAAAAAAAAACCAATGCTTTGACCCTCTAAAGTC